GTGGAACAAAGACAAGGATTCGCTGAAGACGGTCTCGGCTGTTCCTGAGGTTCATCAGCTGGTTTCTTCCATCAAAGGTCTGTGTAAGAGTTTTTCTTTTTTATTTCTGTATGCTTCTACGCAGCTTCATGGTAATAAAACAGAAAATAATGGTATTTATGTGAATGAAAATTAAAATTGGCTGAAATCTGACACACCCTCAGGCCATCTGAGATTAGGATGAGCTTGTGTCTTCATCAGATTTGTAGAAATGTAGCACTGCATCAGTGTCTCAGCAGTGGATGCTCTGCAGTGAATGGGTGCCGTCAGAATGAGAGTCCAAACAGCTGATAAAAACATCCCAATAATCCACAGCATTCCAGTCCATCAGTGAACATCTGGAGAAGACAAAAGCTGAAACAAATCCATCATTAAGACGTTTTTAACTAAAATATGAGTCCATAATCCATAATAAGGCTTCCTCCGGTGAAAAAGTGTTCTGGTGTGAATCAGGAGAGAAATCTGCACAGATCAAGCACCGTTTAAACAGCTCTAGACAAATATGTGGCTGGATTTTGATGCGAGAGACAACAGCAGATGCACTTTTTCACATTTTCAGCCAAATTTAATTTTTGGTTGAACTATTCTTTTAATGTCGCAAAGTTAATTCGTTAGGAGTTGAACTCAGTTCAACTATAAAGCAGCACTACAGAGGAAAATACGTCAGTTCAGTGTTGATTCAGTGCAATAATAGTGCAGAGTTCATCAAACTATGAAGCAAGCTTATTAGGCTCAATTTATCTCCAGTTTTAACATCTAGGACATCTAACATCAACATTATCAGGGCGGCCGATATATGATGCCGATTTTTTTATCTCATAAAAGTGAGTTTGAATAAATGATTATTGCAGGGTACAAGATAGTAATAGTATTAGTAGCCTAATTCAGGATAATAATACATGGCTCAAAACTTAAGCACCTTCTCAAAACCATTCTGAAGCATGCTTTTTGTTCATGTTTGCTGACTTGCAAATGCAGATTAATTCTCTGCCAGCAGGAGGCGCTGTTGGAGCGGGAGGTATAGCTGTTTCCCCGGCTGTAATCAAATAAGCACTGCGCTCACAAACGCTACTTTATCAGGCATTACAGGAAAGACGAAATGAAAATGACACCGAAGCTTTTCTGAAGACGGTCGGTTATTTTCAAAGATACATTCATTCATATAAAAACACCAGCGATGCATTTTAATTTTGTAACGTGCAGTGCTCAGTTTATTCAACGAAGTAATAACTCAATGTATGGGAAACACTGAACACTGCTAAAAGTCAAATGGCCAAGAGATAACAAAAATAAAAGAGTTCACACATATTACACAGCCCGCTGCTCATAACTGCTTAAGAGTGCGCTGGCCACGAGAGATGACATCGTGGAGGCTATTGTCGGACCCACACACACATTTCACGATGAAAGTTATCGTGCACGTTATAATCAGCCCAGAAGTTTCGTCTGAACTGCATGTGTTTCTGCTTTCGCATGCAAATGACTTGTTGCACTTATGAATATGATAACTTTCCGGCATCCATTCTAGTAGGGTAAAGCGTAATTACACTTTCGAAACGGTCTGTTTTGCCCTGCCATCATTAGCTGAAACTGTGTGTGAACAAGCCGCGGCTGCAGAGTGTGAGTTGCTCCGTCTCGCACGCAGCCAGAGAGAGATTCTCCGGCGTTCCGCAACAACGCTTAGCTGCGCTGCAGCACAATCGGCCGATGCCGATTAATTAAAAAATGCCAAAAATCGGCCGGCCGATTAATCGGTCGACCTCTAGTTTTAACAGACTTTTCTTGATGCACGTCTGGAAATGATCCTCAAACGAACACATTCTTGTCTCACGAAGGTTCAGCGACTGCAATGCGGCTCTCTCTGCTGGTTTCGGAGAACGCACAGAGAGTTTTCCTGGCCGCTCTCACAGGACAGGTGTTCCTCTGGGAATGTTCTTCTCGTCAGGATCTGAGCGGCCCGCGGGACACCACAGTCCCGGGACGCTGGAGTCAGATATCAGACCATGAAAACATTCAGCTGCCCTCCACAACAGACAAAGAGGCTTCCGTTCATAGTGTGTTTGTGAAGAACCAGGTAAAAACAACAGAAACGCTGATCTGATGCAGATGTCGTTGTTTAGGTTTCTTGTGCATGTGTTTTATTTGACTGTGGTGTTTTTAGGCAGTTGGTGACGCGTGTCTGAGCGCATTTGTCTTCATTGCTGAAGCGCAGCTCATCGTCACCTTTCTGAAGATCCAGTGGGACTCGACGTGGGACAACAAACTCAGGTCAGATGATGCTAAATGTGCTTTTATTTATTATAATTTACAGCTCTTTTGAACCTATGTTCATTTAAAAGCATTGTTTTGGTAATTGTGCTTATAGCGACTGACTGTTATTATTAATGATAAATTTAATTATTTATTGAACATTGGTCTCTTTTATTATATTGCTTTTGGCACAATTTTGTAAAAATAAAGAGCCACTTGGTAAAATAAAATAAAATAAAATAAAATAAAATTAAATTAAATTAAATATGTGTTAAATGTTATGTTTGCACAATATAAAAGTATAAAATATGTAAATAAAATAAAAAATAACATAAATATAGAGTGCAGGAAGATGCGGAAATACGGTAAGGCTCGATCTAAACAATTAAGAATAAAAATCAAGTTAGAATAAAAAATACATTAACATACAGAAATGTATACATCAAACTTATGAAAATAGTATTATCATAAAAACAACCAATATATAAAAAAATGCATATATACCGGAAATAATCACAATGTTGTACATGAATAAATGAACAAATAATAAATGAGCAACAATTACCAAGCAACAATGAAATGATCTTTTACAATATATTTAAAGAAGAAAATCGTTTTGCTACAAGGGATACGCCATTCCATTTAAATACTACATTTATGCATTTTAAGTTTTGCACAATATCATATACAAAAATATCAAATTAAATAAAATGCATAAACTAAAATAAAGTTATAAGGTGATATACAGTGCAGGAAGAGGTGGAAAACATGTAAGGGCTTATTTCTTACATTTTATAATTGTTCATTTAATTAGAATAATCAGACACTTTTAACCAAATCAACTTGCGTTGCATTCAAGCTATACTTGTATGTTCCTGCATTTCCAGGCATCGTTCTCTGCGTTTTGTTTCACAGCTCAGCAGGTTTCAGTGTTGGCTGGGTCTCTCAGTCGTACCCGCTCAACCAGCTCCTGCCTCCGTGTAAACCGCTGAAGTCCAGAGGCGCTCTGATCCCAGCATGCTCTCCAGACGGTCGACTACTCGCCGTCGTCCTCAACCAGAAAGACCCGCAGGTGAACTCAGCACTGCATTCAGCAGCAGTGAAGCAGAAAACCATCTGTGCAGTGATTAAAAGCTTGTGTGTGTTTGTGTCAGGCGACGCAGGTGTTGTTCATCAGCACTCAGAACTTTGTGACCGTGTCCAGTCTGTTAGGAGGGTGTGGCGTTAAGACGCTCAGTATACCAGCTAAATACGTGAGGTGGGTGATTGCAAAGTCTCAGATAGATGCCATCTGACTGGCTGGCTGTATGCACTTACTAGAGAACCGGTTTAATTTAGTATCATCAATAGTTTAATTTGGTTTAATTTTTATATTTTCAAAATGTATTAAAAGTTTTAGTAAT